GATAGAGAGAGAGAGAGAGAGAGAGAGATAGAGAGAGAGAGAGAGAGAGCCATGTTCGCCAGTGGACTATGGGACATCAAGCAGTCGAAAACCGTTTATTTAAGATGATCAAGCTATTTAGTTGCCATCGATTTGTATGATTCTGGATTCTAGTTAATTTGATCATAAGAACGATCATGGTCATAGCCTAAGCGCAACTGTTCTCTAAAATTTTAAGAAAATGGCTAACGAGGTCATCAGATATTGCGTCTGCTTTTATGCTTTCTTTCGGCAAGCTTGTATCAGGTTATATTTGTTCTCATTCTTTATCAATCTTCATCTAACTAGTATTCGCTTCCCGTAGGTTCGAAGCAACATCACTGCTAGACCAAAGATACCAAGCTTTGACCCTCCAGATTTCTTAACACAATTGAACTCACCACCATGGCCAGATAGTGGCTTGAAGAATGAGTTACAGAAGAGAGAGGAGAGAGAAATGGGTTCTCCAGATTGGGTAGACAAGGTGATGGTAAACAAACAAGAAACAGGCTGGGAAGGCGAAAGTCCAATGCCAGATATCTTTTACCAGAAATACATAGCAGATATGAGAAAGATATATCCAGATCAACAGTATACCTGTCAACCTGATGATATCAGTAGGTTGAGAAGCAGGAAAGCCAGTCAAGACTTTGAAGATAATATGCTGAGGAGTAGCAGCTATGAGATGGCAACAACTGATGATTCGGACGAGATAGAGATAGAAACAAGTGATTCTTCAGAAGCTGATTTGTTGTGGCAATTCAATCTTCCAAATAATGTCACCACTGGTAATGCTACTTCGGTGATGAATGTGTTGGGATCAAAGATCAAGAAGCCTCAACAGAGGCTCGTGAAGAGCCCCAATAAAAGGTAACTTATTTAGGAAATGTTGAAAATGATTAGTTATTTTTCTCATCTCTGAGCTCAGGGAGCTTGCAAATCTTATTTTAGTTTCATTAAATGAGCTCATATTTTATTTTCTTTTAATGAGCTCTCAATGATGGAACTTCCACTTGGGTTATTTTAACATTGCAAACACCTTGCTCTCGGGAAGTTCTTTATGAGATAGTTATCAAGAGTTTAAGACTCAGGAAACGATCACAAAATCTAGTGAAAATTAGAGAAGCGAGTAGGGAAATCTAATAACAATTGGAGATATTGAAAAAATGAAGAAAACAATGTTGAAAAATTCAGCCGGTTCCCTAGGCGGGCACGCTAGGCACGCATGCTCTTGGGCGTGTGCATAGGGGAGCCCAAGGCAGAGGTGGCCGCCTAGGTGGCCAGGGGTCCTAGGTGCCCGGCCACCTAGGTGGGTGTGCTCCTAGGCTCCTGGCCATCTAGGCAGTCAGGATCTGTGGCCATGTAGGCAGCTGCCTTCACTTTTTCTTCAAAAGCAATACATTTCCTAGGATTTTGCCTTACATTCTGAACTCATATTTTTCCATGATTGTGTTATTCGTGTAACCTTGTTTCCTTGTAATGTATTAGTTTAGCAAACAATACAGATTTTGTGTAATAAGTTACAAATTTACCAAGGATTTCACTGGACTAGCTCCATAATTTCTATTTTATTTATTTAAAAAAGCTACATATTATCTGATTTTGCTCTTCCTTTTATGGTCAGGAATCCGAATCAAGCACATGGTCCTTCACCTTCTCGTAAACTATCAAATGGTGGTCCAGCACGCACTGGAAGGCAGCCGGTTTCTGGCGGAGCTGACGGGAAACGCCCATCATCAGGTGGAAAGTTTGGAGTAAATGGAAAGTGAATGATAAAGTCTCATCTTCTTCAAAAAGAAAAAGAAAAAGATGGAAAAGAGAGATAAATATTCTTAGAGCTTTGGTTTTTGTTTCCAATTTCTTCGTCTTTTTACGCAGCAATCATTCCAGTTGCTTTGTATTTGTATGGGTGACCTGGCGAGCTATATTCATCTGTGTATTCCTTTATTTTTCTTTTTCATTTTTTTGGTGTTCTTTTTATCAAAGGAAAATAAAGAAAAGAGAAGAAAAACTGGAACGGTGAGCGTAGGGTTGGCTGTGTGGCTTTCTCATAAATCTTGTATTTACTCTTTCAATTTATTGTTATTATTAGTATTATTTATATCTTGTAGTATATAATGTTGGGCTTTCCATTTTGGAAAAGGTTTCTGTATTTCCTGGACATCATATAAGATCTATGCTTTCCCTACCATCTAGCTGTCCAATTTTGATTAAGAGAGTCACTCATCATTTGATCTTAGATTCGACGTCTCAAAGTATTTTATTTTTAGTTTTTTTTTTACAAATTTTATGAATATGAAATTTGGTACGCGTCATCTTTTCATTGGGGCGCACTTATAAAAAATATTAAAAATATTTTTTTGATAAAATATAATGATCAAACTACCTTTTGAATCTTTTAAGCGTATTTTGATCATTTTATTTTATTGGAAATATTTGTTTTTTATTTTTTGCTAGTGCGAATTTAATAGAAGATTGGTCGTCTAAAATTTGATGTCAAAATAGTTTGTAAAAAAAAATTAAAAATAAATCAGAATATATAAGTTTTATGCTACATGGAAGCATAAAAAGCTTGCCCTTCTAATTTTTCCTTATTTTCTCAATTAGTCGCGATGATTCGGCGGTTTGGAGTTGTTTTCAATATTTAAATTGCTGTCCTCGCAATTTCAAATTCAAATTAAGAGTGGGGAACAACCTTCGACGGTCTTCTGTTGTGTTCCATGTGTACGTTCCAGATCTTCGGGATTGAATATTCAAGGGTCTAGATTTTACATGCTTGAAAAAAAAGGAAGCTACTCACGATTGTTGGGTGAAAATGAAGAGCGTTTTTACTCGTATATTCTCGATGCCATCCAAGAACCCAGTATGTTTGTGGCGGTACTCCCGTCATGAACACAGCGTGGTAGTCAAAAAATATGCAGAACCATCACGAACCATATACCATCCATGTTGTCCGTTGCGGCTTTGTTCAATAAGCCATCATGGACCTATCATGTTCGTGGCGAGTAAATACTGTTCAAAATCGCCTATAGTCTTTTTTAAGAATTTTTTTTGGAAAAATATTTCTGACTTTTGAGACACCTCTCGAAAGTTGTGAAAAAAATGAAAATTTCTGTTGATGTAGTAAAATGATTGTTTAGAGAGTTTTTATCTTTTGTATATGAAAATCACAATTTGTTTATTAAACTTCAAAATGGGTGGTTGTTAGAGTGAGTCACTGAAAAGTTACAAAAGTTCTAAAAGAAAAAGTTCTCAAACTTTAGTAACTCACCCCAAACCATTCAATTTGATATCTAATGAATGCAAATGATTGTGACTTAGATAACCATTCTTTTTATAGACCTTCCCTTTACTAATATCGAGATAATAAGAAGTCTTGAAAGGTGGATCAAGATATCTAGAGAGAGAGAGAGATGGGCATTCCCCAAAAAACCTCACTTCTGAAATAAAAAGGTTTACTAAACCAATGTCCAAAACATTGACATTTATGCTGCTTATAGATGGAGGGAGAGGGAGGACTGCATTGGTTGAGATTGAGAGAGAGAGAAGTGCAGCATTTGGGAGAAGTGTTGCAAAATATCTGTCCTGTAAAGAATGAGAATGATGGGCCTCCTATCTTGGATTCCATCACCAAAGGAATTGTAGGAATGAGTGCTATGACTACTCATTTTCAAGCTTTTCGGTGCTGGCAATTGTTGCTCATGTGGAGACAATGATTCTTTACAAAAGTAAAGGCCCCTCTTGCCTTTCTCTCACTCTCTCACACACGCATTAAAGAAAAGCAAAGACCCCTCCCCCTTTATCACAGACGTAATCTTGCAATAAAAAGAGATGAATTGTGTTAGGTAGGCAGCTAACGTCAAAGTTTACTACATCTTATTACAAATTCTGAATATATAGAATGAAATAATAAGATTCATATAGCTAATCCCAAATCATTGTGATAAGACTTGGATGATGAAAGTGAAGTCTCAGGGGCGTGTGATGCAACTCTTAGAGCATACTGGAAGATTATATGCTCTTGCCACATCATATCATAGATTCACACCTTTGGGATTTATAAAACTCGAGATAGAAATTAGCATCCAATCTCAAAATAAATGAAAGGAAAAGTTTTTTTAAGGTTGGAATCTTAAAATGTGGAATTAAGGTGTACCTAAAAAATCCATCGTAAAAGGTTGTTTTAAAATTGCAAAATCATGTAATTGATCTTCAAGACATCGAGATATATGAATATGAAAAAAAAAAAAATCGAGTCTTAAAAATAGTGTATAGTGCAATACGTTATCTCGATTATCTATTTTCAAGATTTTTATGTGTTTATATATATACTTGATTTGAACCATTTTTGGAGTCTAAAATTTTATGATTTGAGATGAAAATGGATTATCATGTCATTTTAAAAAAAATTGACACCAAAATTACGTCATATGATAAAATTTGGTTGTGAACCTTACTTTGAATGTTTAAGGATTGAACATTGTGTAAAACACATGTTAAAAGAAATTGTGTACTTAAAAAAATAAGTAATAGGATATTTTTAAACTTTTAGATGGTTATATGATCAAGTCTAAATGATGGTATGATCTTTGATGGAGCAAAATGGTAGAAGGGGATTTATGTAGCCGACCTCAAATAGTTGAAATCAGTGTTTCACTACTCACGCGTGTCGACTCAGACTCGCCCAAGTAACTCGGGCTTGGCACCTTGCAGAGCTCGACTATCCCCGAGTACGGTGCCCAACTCGGGGATTTTAAAAGAAAAAGAAAAAATAAATCTATTTGTAACATGTTTATTATGTGTTCTATTATTTTGGCCAAAATTGGAAAGTACTTTAACCATGAATACTTATTTTTACATTTTTTCTTTTTTTTTGGATTATTTGAAAAATACCCCCTAGTTACAATTTGACTTTTCAAAATTTTTTTTTTTTTTACAAATTTTTTAACCGTATTTAGATATGTTTTGTTTAATCACATTTTAAATATATATTTCTTATTTTTTAGATTTTTTTTTTTTGGTAACACTTTTTTGTTGTTATAGTACACATACCAACTCGGGTCAAGTACTCAAGCTGAATCATTCATTCCAACATTAGTTGGGTAAGACTCAGATGACGATGATGAGGACAATAGTCAGAGCTAAGTATTTAGAAGCCCAAAGTCTAATTTTATATTGAAAAAGTATACAATGAAAGTGTTTAACTTTGATACAAGATGATCACAATTAATCTTGACCATTGAATATGAAATTAAATGGTTATATTTATTCCATTGATTAAGCTCAAACTTCAAAAGAACTATTTTCAAACTTGATGACACACAAACTATATCGTTTGAAGCAGTGTACATATGTACTCTCTCTCTCTAACATGTCAAAAAAGTGAAATATCCATTATATTTATTCCATTGATTAAGCTCAAACTTTAAAAGAAATATTCTCAAACTTGATGACACACAAACTATATCGTTTGAAGCAGTGTACATATGTACTCTCTCTCTCTCTAACATGTCAAAAAAGTGGAATATCCATGCATCAGTTAGTTGCAGTGTTGTATCAGAGCGGTCCCGTTTTCCCCGGTATTCGGCTGCCTCCCACCCAATTCTGGGCCCATGTAAAACCCTATTTACATTGATGGAAATTGAGACAATTTGCTTCACAAAAGTCCCACCGTTTGGGCCCAATCCAATGGGTGAGGTTTTTTTATACAGTAGAAGTAAGGTGCACTCACCTCAAAAATCCACCTGAAAAGGTAGTTTTGATGTCGGAAATGTTTGCGATGACCAAAAAAATCTATTTCTTATATTTGAAAAATCATGAAAATGAATGTATATTACAAGATACAATATTTTTAGGATTTGAGATCTATTTTTTTTTCACATCTATACATCGCGAGGTCGAGATCATCAATTGAAAAGTTTTTTTTTTTTTTTAAACATCGGAACAATATTTTTAAGTTAATTTGTTGGGGGCTCCTTACTTCTGCAATATAAGGTTAACACCTTATATAAATTTCTTTCTAAATCAATTCCTATAAGTTGTGGACTTCCAATTATTGAGAAATATGGTTTGAACTTTGGAGAGAGAGAAGAGAGATTTATCGTTGTGCATGTGTGCAGACATGATAAGTTTCAAACAAATGTGGTGTTTTGTAAAGTCTTCCGAGAATTTTGTATAGACAATAGCTTGTACGTTAATTTTGTTAGCTAATGAAAGTACGAAAGAAAAAGGAAAAATATCATACTAGATCCATAACCTTTCTCTATAAGGGGATGGAGGTTAAGTCAGTGTATATGTTAGGAGTGTTAAACAAATTGCCGAGCCAACTCAGGACTGCGAAGGGATGGTGTCGAAACTAGACCTAATTCTCACTACAAAGCTTATATTTTTGTTTTAAAAAAGAAATACAGTTTTGAATCAAAACTCGCCAAAGTCGGTCTGGGCAAATCGAGCTTAGGACTTTGGCGAGTCAATGCTTTTAAACACTACATTGTACACAGTAATTTATTATGTTTAACCGGCTAACTCTATACAGTAAGGACCTTAAATTTATATAAACTTGCACACACACACACACTGAGAGAGTATAGAATGTGTCTTCCCTCAAATTCAGGGTTGATGTCTATGTTCTCCTTGAAAGTATGTTGGTGCAGAGGACAAACAATCCTTATTATTTAACTAAAGACACCCCTTCTTTTCCAACATCACCAACTAAAATATGGTCTTATCATTATACAATTGTGGCCATTAAATTCTTTAATGTCTTGAAATAAATAAATAAAAGTACGATTCCAAGCGTGGGGTTTGTGCAACTATTAAATTTCTATGAATTTTAAGGAAGTATTATCATCATTGTCAAAACTTTTTTTAAAATAATTGAGATTGGGTATACGAATTCTGGTCCGCCATTATGTCTATAAATTTTAAGTATAAGGTCGTATATTATAAGGGCAAGCCTCCTAACCAAAATGCCCTATATAAAATAAGCCGTGGGGTGTAGCTTGAAAGAAAGACCTATGTGATCTTTTACCGAAGACCTATGTGATCTTTTACCGAAGAATACAATTTTTTTTTTTTTTTTTTCTTCACTTTTTTCTTTTG